TCACCACCGAAAGTCAAATTTTTTGTAGTGGAAGTAACATTGAGCCAAGAAAAACTTCTAGATGCCCATAAACTTTTGAATACTTTCAGGGGAAAAAAATAACCGTTAACCCAAAAGAAAAACTGGGAGAATAGAATATTTTGTTGATGTATATATGTAATTAATTTTCTGTGTAGCAATGGAACTTGGGAGACTATTTTTTAAGACTTAACAATGTAAATTGATGAGACGTACAAATCTGTTTGTTGAGTTGAATGTGATATCCTTCATTGATTTTTTTTTTCTACAATACGTTCTGGCCTGGTTTGAAGACCAAAATCTGATATGTTTAAGTGTATAAAACATTATCTTCCATAAATCAAATTAGTGTGATAATTAAATTGTGTTGACGGAATATAATATAGAGTCTATGGTTACTAGTGACCACTGATCATCGGTTAACTAGAATTCTTTGACGGAACCAGGAATAGGAAAATCATTTAGAGAAGACTTTAAATATGTGTTTTCCGGTGGGATTGAAATATACCCATATAACCTAATTAACTAGTTAATTATGCTTTTTTTTTTGTGAGATCTTCTAATCATTACCTAATTAACTAGTTAATTTCGGGTTTCAAAGACAATTAATATATCTAAAGGAAAATATTTAATTGCTTCGTATATGTAATCAAATTGTGCATATAATAAACTTAATTTATCCAACTAATTAACCAATTTATTTTATAAGAAAGTATGAGTTCAACTAATTAATTAATATGCTTGCTATAATAGTAGTAGTAATTAAAGATGGTAATTAAGAGTTGTCTTAGTCTAACAAGTTATATTCCATTCCTATGTCTTACTTATAAAGCATTTGGAGGATGGGTTTTGTGGTCTTTTACATAAGGTATTGAACTTTTTTCACTTAAGGTATTACATTGATTATATATGTTGATATAGGAAGAATAAATAAATTTTTTAAGAAAATTTAGACAAAGTTATTAAATTTTAAAATTTTCTTCAATTTCAATGAAAAATGTTGAAGTAATTAAATGGAATCGGGAAAAAATATACAACTAATTTACAATTACATTATAATAAAGAGAGTGTATAAGTTGTTGAAAAGATGTAGTATCCAATAATTGTCCTACTATTTCCATAATCAACTCTTTTATAGTAATTGAGTACATGCCAATTACTGGGGAAAAAAATTCATGCCAATAATATATACTATTGAGTTGTTCCATTAAATTTGAGCAAGATTGGTGAGAATTGATAATTGTTTGTATGTTTTAAAAGATAAAAATAAATCATACTATTCATAATTCATAAATAATATAATAATTTGTTAGATTTTTTACATTATTTATAGATTATAGATTTTTACAAGAATGATAGTCTAATTATTATGATATTATTTATACGTGCACTTATCGTATATTACGTGAGATTTGCGCGTATGTATGTGGGAATTTCTTTTTTTGGGGAGATGGTTTTACATTTTAATCACATTTAATTGATTTGTGTGTGTGTGTGTGTGTCAAAGAGGGCTGTAAGGGATCATTTTGCCATAATTAATTGATTGATTAGAATGATCATTTCAATGTAACGTCCTTTTGGAATAGGCCAAATAATGCCTTTGCTCAAATGACAAATATTGACGCAATCTTTTTCAGCACAATTATGTGATATACCCTCTCCATCTTTAAATATAAATACAATGCTCAATCGTAAAAATTAGGGATATTAATGAATTTATTTATGTCTAAATATTTTTTCTTTGCAAACCTGCCCCTAATTAATTTTTTTTCCTTTATGATGATCGATGGCATCATATTTATTGGGAGTTAGGGAAAATTAATTAAATAGAAGTATATGTGAAAATATTTATTTAAATATTCTGAAATTTTGAACAAGGTATTATAAAAGACGACAATAGCAAGGAAATGTATGATGACAATAATTATAGTTGAAATTCAAATGTTGTCAAATTTGCGAACGGGATTCTGTCCTTTCGGACAATATATCTATTAGTAGCAGACTATTACACCCTGTAATTTTACTTATAAGGATATGTTAAATAATTTTATATTAATTAAGGAAAGTAGTTAAATGGTAAAAATTGTAATAAAATAAAAAAATTAAATTGAGAGCGATATGTTAAGTTGTCTTTCAGTGAAAGATGATTAACGAACAAATCAGAGAGTGGGGCAACCTCGGATTCTAGAAATAAAAGTTGGGCATTTAATATTTCATAATTGTATAAAGCATATAACCTCGTGTTTGGTGGAGGTCGTATGCTTTATGCAATTATGGAGATTCGCTTCCCTGGAATTGAAGAAACCAAAATCATTTGGGGGAGGCCAAAAAAAAAAGAAGAAGAAGAAGACATCCTGAGACTATAAAGATATTTAGTTGGTATCTGTATGTGTATGATGAGAAAAAGAACCAACAATATCTAATTCTAATTTGAAGTATCTAGAGAAATACTACCTCTTATATTAAATATAAGAGATAGTTGATTAATTTGAGTAAATTAAAAAAATTAATTAAGTTAGTTATTTGTAATAAATAGGTGTTGTCTTCTTTAAAATACCCTTACTAATTAAGTATCATTTGGTAAAACATTTAATATGTGTAACCACTATAAAGACTACTTTTGAAAAAATATATAAATATGAGAGATAAAGTGGATTGAGGGTCTTATGTTTAGGACTAAATTAAAAATCAAACTAGCTTTTATATTAAGGACCGGAAATAGTATTGAATAATATAATATATTAAGTAATTGTTACCCATATATAATATATATGCCGCTATTTTTAGTTTTTCCTCATTCCTACGTCAAACGATGTCCATATTGATATAAGGGAAAATGATGAAAAAAAAAGTCATGGAAATTACAAAATCCTAAATCAAGATTTCTCAATTTTCTCTTGTTTACCATTATAATTGCATGTATGACCAGGCCAAATAGAAGATATTTGTATATAATTGTATTGTATACAGATAAAGGAGAGCAACGATCACTCAAAGACTTAGGTTTTTAGATATTTATGGGTAATGAGAGATTTTCATCTATTTTCTCTCTATTATAACTATCCTTTTATGTATGTTATTCTTCACATTTACATAGTAATAATCTCTGTTTATTTAAAACATTTTCAAACTAGACATATGTACAAATTTAAACTTCTAGATTCCCCATCGGTAAATATAAATTAGAAAAAATCTAAAAAAAAAACCTCTTGATTTTAAAATTTTAAATTAGTCTTGGTTAATGTATTTTAATAGTAATCGACTAAACTTGAAAGGCAAATAACAACATATTTTTGTGATAATTTTTTATTTGAAAATTTCAAATTTAAGAGGCATTTTTTTTTTGAAATTTTCCCAATAAATTATTCCAAATGATATCGTAAGGAAGAATTGAAAAATAAAATAAATATATACTAGTATAATAATTCCTTTGTGAATGCGTGAATAAAAGAAAATGTCTTTGTAATAATATAAATTCAAAATATATACCTTATATCAATATGAATTTAAGAATATATGTGAGTATGACAATCACGCCAAGCAACTAAGGGACCACATACAGCCTTGTGCGGGAAAAAGAAGGCTTACGAAAAAGTAAGAGAACCACCACATGCACTAATGATGAGCATTACCTTGTAATTTGGGAACATACTAATATTAGCATAAAAAGCAATATATATTTATTTATATTATATATATAACGATATTATTTATAAATCATGAACAATTTGATCTACTTTACGACACAATATTCACATATTTCATGTTTAAAATATTAATAAGCTTAATTATCCCAAGAAATCTAGCTTATAATAAAAAGTGCCAATTGAATTTAGTTTCTTTAGAGCTTAATTTGCGCCTTTGTCGTTTATCTCTTGCATGAGTGAGTAAATATTAAGTTTCTCGTGGTATTATTTATCATGATCTGTTGTAATATATTGGGAAGAAAGTAATTAAGTTCGGGTGTTAATATTCTTGTAAAAGTGGAGTATACCGTTATAAATTAATTCTTTAATAATTTATCATCGTAATTTCATGAGTTTAATTTGGTGCCTTTGCATGTAATTTCCCCTCCCAATTAAATAATATTAATTGATGAATTTGAATAAAGATTTCATTTTTCTTTTTAAAAAGTATTAAACTAATGATTCATTTTTATGTCATTTCATCGTGTCCTTTAGATACGGCAACTTGCTCACTGTACAAACTATATATTCTGACTTTTATCACATGGCTTTTGTTCAGCAGTGTCCTCGCATCACATCAATATTGAAATTGGATAGAGTCCTTTTGCCATTGATGATTTATTAATTTATTTATAATTCTTAAGAATAAATTTGTAATATATATTAATTAGATATTTGGATTCATACATATATATATATATATATATGGCGAACAAATAATATATAGATGTTGTTCATTTCTTGTCAATAAGCAATTATTTTAGAATTTTTATATTCTATGCTGATCGCTGTGATGGTAAATTGAAAAACAGTCACGTAATAAATTTTTGTAAAGGTAAAAGGTTTCCTTTGTTTGTTTGTTTGTTACTTTCTCAATTATTCTTCTTTCAGGGAAAAGACATTAATTGAATGACATCAATTGATGTTATATTGTAATTATAATTTCCTTAACTTTTTGTATGCATAATAAGAATATATAATATTCTTATTTCTCAACTATTTTAAACTATTAGAGGGCATTGGGATATTATTCTTCCATATTGTAACATTTGCGAGACAATTTTGAATCCAATATGAAAGAAATGCCGTATTTATTTTATTGCCTGCTTTTCTTTCTTCTCTTTTTTTTTTTTTTTCACTTCCACCTCTATCTTGTCACTTGAGTTATTTATGGGTGGCAACTGTCTCCCATTTGAATGAAAAAGTATATATGATGTTGGATGTTGTGAAAAAGATTAAATTAAATAAATATTAATGATCATACATTGTACAACAATAATATCGAATTAAACAAATTTAGCCAATAATTTCATTTTTCAAGCAGGCCCTATATCTGATTTCTGCATCTCTAGAACCAACGTGTACAACATCACAGCACTCTCTTCTACCCTGCAACACAACAAATTAAAAATCCCTTTATGTCAACCAAACATAAATGTTCATCATCATATTAACAAATACAGAGTAATAATGATGTCAAAGAAATAAAAAAAAGGAGAAGAGTCATTTGTTACTTGCATATGTAATATTACATTTGGTTCTTAATATAAAATCTAATAGACTAATTTGAAGAGATTAAGAAAACTAAATAAATTACTTAATTATAACATATGTTACATGATCTTTATGAAATTATTATGCATATTATTAGATTATATATAAGTCAAAAAAATTAGTTTAGAGTAAAATGATAAATATAAATACTTTAAAGTAATTTATTTAGCTTTAATTTTTTAATCTCCAAAAAAAAAAATCTAATACTCCCTTCTATCCATAATATAAGACAAAGTTTATGTATATCTTAGAAATTTTGCCCTATATTTTGGACCAGAGGGAGAGTACAAATCTAAGCTACAATACTACGAGTATAATCCTTGACCAAAACAAAAGAGAAGAAATGAAGAAATAGAATGGAATGATGAGAATAATGAAAGGGTAAAGAGTAGTAAAAAGTTACAGACCTTGAGGTTCATTGTTGCAGGAGAGATGACTCTAACTCTGGTGATAGAATCAGCAGACTTATGTCCAGCAAGAGGACAAGCCATCAAACCTCTGCCAGATCGTCTCACAAACGTTGTAACTACATGTTCTTCTCCATCATTATCAACCCTAATTTTCTCCATTGATTCTGCGAAAAACCCATGAGGAGCTTCACAGGGATTATCAGTAGGCAACCTTGTGTTGAACATGTAATAGGGTGGCGCCGAGATCTCGGCGAGCCATGGCTTGAAGGTCTCCAAAGGCCTCTTGAGAAGCCAACGAGGGAAGACACTTTCGTAGATTTGAAGAGAGTAACCCCATGAGACTGAGAAAGTCCATAAGTTAGGCTTATGGTGGCATATGGTTTGCTGAAGAATGCGAGTGTGATCCAGTTTGGCTGCTCGAAGAAGGTGTCTTATGGACTCTGATCGGTTCTTGGAGGGGAAGATAGGGTCTATGGTGTCCATGTGGTGGATAGACACAAAAGGAACATTTGGATGAGCTGAAAGAAGACCTGATACGTCCCCATGTGCATCAACCTGCATATAAAATTGTCAATGTTAGTTCCAATCTGAACCATAAGCAGTGGGTCGTCACAGGTTAAACAGGTTGGGATGAAAAAGCCAGCCTCCCTAATAGCCATATAGTCTAGTCTAATAGCATAAAAGTTCCTTCGTAAGCGGGAGGTTATAGGCTCAATCTCGGTTGGGATCTCATCAGGTTGCCTGCCTGATTGCTGAGCCCTCCAAATTGAACAAAAAGAAAAAGCTTGCATCAAAGTGGCTCCTATGTTGCAAGAGGCAGGGACTCTGATGTGCCTCTCTAATGCTCATTATAATGCCCCAATCTCTCAATTTTTTCTTTTAATTATTAAATTCTATATAAAATGAGTGATAATTTGATATTTTATAATAATGAAATGATGTAGTTTTAAATTTTTTATGATTTAAAAAATTCTAAAATTGTATAGTTTTGATTTTTCTCTGTCTTTGAAAAATAGTGAAAAATTCCAAACTATACATTTTATCACCCTAAAAATTGGAAAGTTAAGATATTACAAATGACATTTGAGAGAGGCACATTAAAAATCCCAGACACTGTTTCGTTAATCTAATGTGCCACTTTTTGTTAGGTTGGATACAACTCATGTTACCATAAACAATCAGAACTTGAACTTGCCATAAACAATATGGCTAATTCATCAATTTGGTATAAATTAATTAAAATAAAAAAAATGATTATGGATATTTTACCTGGTGAAAACCTCTTTCAAATGTAGGATCAACTCCAAGATCAGCAATACAAGCACTCACAATGTAATCGCTAGAAATCAAATGAGTATATCTCTCTATGCATCCTTCCAAGTTCTCAACTAGGGCTTCCATTAATGGATAGCTCAAAGCAAAGCCTCCTCCTCCATAAGCCATTTCAAAAGCAAATAAAGAATTTGACTTAATAGCTTCAGAATTCATCCCCACATACACCTGCTTCGTGTGATCATACTTTGACAAAACCCTAATCAGATTCTCGATCACCATCACTGTATCATCATCTGTCATCACAAACCACTTCACATTCTCATCTCTCTGCTCGAACGTCTTCGTAATGGAACGCAGAATCCTCACCTGAATTGGGCTCGGAAATTTCTTGAAGATCCTCAGCTTTGTGACGTCCCCGTGGACCTTATACGGCGGAGAAGTCGCCGGCCATGGCAGAGAATCCTTCCCCGGAGTGTGCTCGAAAAACACATATCCTCTTGTTATATTAGGTCGCCACCATGATTCAATGTAGGGTTTCTTGTTCTTCCATGTTTTTACAGAAGCAGCTATGCAGAAAACAATGTTGCTAACGTTAATGGCATGATGATGATGATGAGACGTATTATTATTTGAAATCGATGGTAATGGTGATGAAGATGATAATGATGGAGGGGTACATTTTTCCTGGAATCTTGCGAGAATGTAAGGGAATTGATCATGTAAAGGATGAAGCTGCAAGAAGGTGACGAAGAGGATCAACAGGAAAAATATACCAAAGATAATGACACATTTGTATAAAGCTTTAAGGGATAAGGTACTGTAATGTTGATCCTTCAACAAGACGAGGTTGGCTGAAGAGCTTGAAGGAGTCATCGTGAAGAAGAAGAAGAAGAAGAAGAAGAAGAAGAAGGCATTAATTAGGGTTGAAGAAGATTGATTGGACAAATTTGCACGGGGAAGAGAGAGAGAGAGTGGGTGGGTATATATATTATATATAGAGAGAGAAGGAAGGAAAATAAGGAAGAATCACAAATTTTTGAGTTGGTGTTTTGACTAAGGCTCTATTTATAAGCAATGAAATTAAGACGTCCTAATAAGCCAACCAGCATTATGTGAGACGCTTGGTTAATTTAGTCTAACCTTAGACTTCAGTGCCAGGGAGATAGATTAGTCCCAACATAAACCCAAATTAGCTATAGCTTTGTTACAGCTAAACGTGTATTATTACAAGTGATTAAATTGATTGAATACTAATAACCAAAACTTCTTTCAAAACAGTTGAATAAAACAACATTACAAAAATAAACTTCGGTCGTTATTAATTGGAATCTTTTGGTCAAGGTAATGAAATTACATTAAGTAGTTATTATTTCTAACCAAGGAAAACCCAATTTTGCACGTACGAAATATTGCTAGTGGACTTGATTGATTTCTAACAAAGATTAAAATTTGTATATATAAGTCGTTAGAAGATTGTAAGAGACATAATAATGGGGAAAATGAAACGCAATACAAATTAAATATCTTAAATATTAAATTAGAAAGCATATTAATTATTTATTACCCCTTATTATTGACCTTTAATTTTAGCGTTATGATGCATTCAGGACTCCAAAATATTTTTTCGAGTACACCAGTATCCCAAAGTATTTTGTGGTATATTTAGCACCCTAAAGTATTTTCTTAAGTGCATCCACACTTTCAAGTATTTTTTGGTTCATCTGATACTCTAAAGTATTTTTTTTAGATGCATCTAGCATCATAAAATATTTTTTGAGGCATTTAGCACCGAGACAAAAAAAAAAAAGCTTCAGGGTGTTGGATGCACTTAAAAAATACTTCAAAGTGTTGGATGCACCACCCAGCATCCAAAAAAATACTTCGAGGTGCTAAATGTATTTTAACCCTTTAATTGATTACCCCCTTATTATTTACATCATATTACCACTTTATGTAAAATGTAGTCTCTGATTTATATCCCCATTTAGGGAGTGTTTGGATAGAAACCAAATCATGGTTTCAGAAGTGCTTTAATGGATTACGAAGTAAATATGTGAAGGAGGTTACCTCGTTTTGCGGAAAAGTGATTCTGAAACCTAGGTTTTGGTTTTGCCAAACACCTCCTTACTCTTTGCTTTGCTTTCTAGTAGGAGTGTTCACTTGTATCTCCTCCCACCCAATTATTTTTTAATAGGACAAAAGTAATACGGGAAAAAAATGTCTCGGGACGGGATATGACATGGGATAGGGTGTCCCGTCCCAATTCCATCTTGATATATCATCTATTTTAATCTTATTAGTTTTGTATATGTGTCATTAATATAATAATATTATAATTTTTATAATTATGTTGAATACAATTTATAAGTTTTTCTATATGAGTTATATGGTGTTTTCTTGATAGATATTTTGAGTTCATATATTTTCCATCTTTCAAAAAGAAATATTTTTCTTTATTAATTTCTGATTAATGTCAATTTATTAGCTCATTTTTATTTATTTTCTTTGTATAATTTTTACCCTGAGTTTTTACGCTCCAAATACATTTAGTTTTAAAATAAAATAATTGACAAATTTTTTTAAAAAAAATAAATGGGACATTTTTATCTTGTCCCAGTTATGTTGTGAGGGGATGTCATTGGGAAGGGACGGGATACGGGATGGAAACAGGACTAGGACAGGATTGTCCCGTTCTCCTCCTGTCTCATGAGCACCCTTACTTTCTAGGTTACAATTTCCAACCTCATGTAGCTTTATGTTTCCAATATACCACCTCACATCCATAATATAGTATAATACATGAATTAAATAAGTAATTTGAGGATATTAAGAAAATTAATTAAATTAGTTATTTATAATAAATAAATATTGTCTTTTCTAAAATACTCACATCAATCATCTGTATCAGAATTATCCTTTCATGAAAATTTATCAACATATGCAATTACTATATATAGAGATTACTTGGGGCAAAATGGATAAACAGAAGAAAAAAAATAAATTTGAGTCTTTTATTTAAAACTAAATCAAATTTTTAATTAAGTTTTATATTAAGGATGAGCACGTAGTAATTCAAGAAGTGTCGGTTTATGCTTTGGAGATATCCGTCTTAGGGAGTGAACCAGGTCTTCGAAGATTCCACTCACGCCAACATTGCCTTGGTTCACTGAAGAAGCTCTTTTCCTGATTAATGCTTCTTTCTTATGTCTGAAAACTTGGTTAATCCATTCCCGCACTTGATAGTTAATCATGATTTCTTTTATATGCTTTTCTCCGTTTTGATTTTGATTTCTATAGCTTTAAGTGAATATCATTAAACATCAACTCAAATCCTTATAAAATTATAAGACATTTTGGACAAAAGAAACTACAAGAATAAAAAAACTACGGTTTAAAATTATAAGGATAAAAAAAAGCGTTAAGAGTCAAAAATAGCTATAAAAATATACTAAAAGTTCACCCAACACCATGAATTTTTTTTGAGTTCAAATCTACCAATTAAAATTTAAAAAGATGTCAACAATGCTAGTGTTGTTAACGTTTGTTTTTTAAGCGGTAGGACCCACAATTGTTTTAATGAAAATACCAAAATGCCCCCAATGAAAAAGTTAAAGGCCAAAAATACTCATTACCTTATACCAAAAGTTCACCAAACACCATATAATTTTTAATAAAAGTACAAAAATATCCAAATAGTGAAGGGTTATTGTATTAGAATGTGTTAGAGATTATTAATTATAATAAATTTTTATTTACCCATTTTTATAATTTAAATAGATTATTAGTGTTTCTTAATAAATTTTTTTCTGACTAAAGTATACTTTTAGTTCTTTAACTTTACACAATGTTTCATTTTGGTTCCTTAACTTTAAAAAGTAAATTTTTAGTCCTCTAATCCTAAAACTATTAACAAAAAATGATGATATTAAACTCCTGAATGTTGATAAAATATTACTAAATGCTAACATATTAAGTTTAATATTCAAAATAACTATGATTGTTATAAAAAATATTATTTACGATTAACAATTTTAGGGTTAAAGGACTAAAAGTAATGTTTTTAAAATTAAGGGACCAAAATAAAACATTGTGTAAAGTTAAAGGACTAAAAGTATATTTTAGTCTTTTTTTCGTGGTCAACAGTTTTTTTCCTTTTTTTTTTTAATAAAAATCAGCCAATTTTTATAGTTATTATATTAATTGTTATAGCTCAAAATATTTTAATAGGATAAATGTTATACATAATAGTTAAATATCTTTTTGTAACTTATCATGTTTTATATTTTAACATCATTATTGCTTATCCCGGAGTGGTTTAATTCTAGAGAATTGTTAAATAAAGTTAACACAATAAATATTTACATTTTAATCCTTTCATTATTATTCATTTGATATTTTCATATTTTTAATTCAATTTAAAAAATTTACTTAATTTTAAAAAAATGAGGGTGCTCTAAAGGTTAGTTGAAATAAAGAATATAAATCCATCTTGTAAGAGGGCGGGTTTTTTTCTTAAAAAGGAGATGAGTGAAAAAGACCATCGGCGGGTTAAAAGGAAATGGTGGTTTCTTTCTTCTTCTTTTTTTATTAGGGATATCTTAGTACTTTTATTAAAAATAGTGGGTTCCATTATCAAAAGTGGCTTTAGATTCTCTCAAAGAATTAAATATAAATGTAAAAAAGAATTCAGATTAATTGTTAAATTTGATAACATAAACTGAAGGATAAACATAACTTCATATGTTGTTGATACAAACAACTTATTTTCAAAAGATGCCTATAATGTCTACTAAAAGAAAAGATTGGGAATATAAACAACTTATATTTTAAAGAGTAATTCAATTTAAGCTTAAATTTTTTTACATGAGTTATTTTAATTATAAAAATTTAGTATAATTAATAATTTCTAACACAATCTAATGCGATAGCCTATCGAGATTGAGATATTTTTATACTTTTATTAAAAATTATATGGTATTTGGTGAACTTTTAGTGCAAGTTTATGGGTATTTTTGACCCATAACTTTTTTTGTTTTAATTGGATGTATTTCAGTAATTTCATTAAAAAAAACATGGGTCCCACTGGTAATAAAACAGATGTTAATAGCATTGGTATTATTGATCTCTTTTTAAACTTTGATGGTTAAATTTAAACCCAAAGAAAGTTTATGGTGTTAGGTGAACTTTTGGTATATTTTCATAGGTATTTTTGACCCTTAACCCCAAAAAAAATTGGATCAAGTTATAAAACAAAAGGTAGAGTAGAAAATAAGAGTATATCTTATGAAAATAAGAATATTTCTTATTCCATTTAAGATGTTGAATACATTATACATGGCCTCTATTTATAGGCACAGCTTTACATCTTTGACATAATCTACATATTATATAATAATAGAAGATAATTGTGGAATATAGAAATAATGAGAGATATTAGAGATGACAAGAGATATAGAAGATATATAGACATCAACAAATATATTATTATATTCATAACACTCCCTTTTGGATGTCTATTATATATGAATGTGCCTCATTAAAAAATTTTCAACTAATAAAAACCCTATAGGATAAAAAACTAGTAGAAGAAAAAGAATACACCATTTATTGATACATTATGCAATGTTGTCTCATTAAAAACTTTGCTAGGAAAATCCAAGGGGACAAAACCATAGACAAGAGAAAAAAAGTACAACATGTATCAACTCCCTCTCTAAGCAACTTCAATTGAAAAGTCTAATATAATAAACAAGCATTTCAAATATTGTAATGGGATAAAAACATCAAATATTGATTTTATAATCTTCTAAAAATCATGAAACAAATAGTCTCTTTGTGGTCTATCCACACGTGGATCATATTGTGATTTCTCA